GTAAAAGAAAATGGGCAAGTGACTTGTGAATTGTGATGAATAGTCCTTTTTGAAACTCTTATTCCTTGCCAAAAGATCAATTTTGTGGAAATTTGTCCGTCAAAAAATGAATATGTCAAGCCTTTTAGAGTAACTCTGTGCACGAAACTTACTTTTAGAATTGATGCTAGAAATAGTGTTGCTTTAATGGTGAAACATATGTTTACACAATTTAGTTAATACTCGAACCCTCCGATTTATATAGACTGATTTTGTTTTTTTACATGGATTAGAAAATTTTATTTAATATTNGGATTAGAAAATTTTATTTAATATTTTTGAAAAATCAAAATTTGCCAATTTTTTTCCTAATTTACCCTCATTTAATTATCAACAACTATTATGCCCTGTTTGATTGAAATGAATTCCATGAAAAATGTCACATTTGAGGAAAATGAATTCCACTTTAGATGTTTGATTGCAATGAGAAAATGGAAACCGAATTTCAAGATACAACTACTTGAAATTGTATTTTCTTTATTTTCATGGAAAACGAATTCATATGAGTTTTTGTGGGTTTTTATTTTTCCAACTAACAAGACATTGAAATTTCTTTCTATTTTTGCCTATCAAACGGACCCTCAGTAAATTATTGTTGAAAGTAGTAAAAAATTTGAATGATTTAATTTTCAATTCTCACATTGATTATTACTCGGCGAATTAAATAAGTGCATATTAGTAAAGGAACGAAACGAAACATTCTCAATTAAAAAAATAAAAAAAAGACTATAATTATGACAAAAAAATAAGAATAGTCAGCTTATATAAATAGGATGGAAGGGGTATCATTAAATACATATTTCAAGAGTCGAGACTCTTAACCGGGGTCTAAATTTCGGGTTGGGTCGGGCCGGTTTTTTGGGCTGTGGTTTTCAAGCCCAGCCCTAATCTTTAGAACAAGTCATAATTTTTTTTGATGCATTATCGCTTCATTCTAGAAATTAGTCCATTTCACACATGTAAAAGAAAATGGGCAAGTGACTTGTGAATTGTGATGAATAGTAAATTTATAGATAAAAGCTTTGATTTCATTGACAAATAATTACATACGAAATATAGTCCTTGTTGAAACTTGTATTCCTTGCTAAAAGAACAATTTTGTGAAAATCTGTTCTTCAAAAAATGAATATGTCAAGTCGTTTAGAGTAACTATCTGCACGAAACTTACTTTTAGAATTGATGCTAGAAATAGTGTTGCTTTAATGGTGAAACACAATTTAATTAATACTCGATCCCTCCGATTTATATAGACTGATTTTGTTTGTTACAAGGATTAAGATATTTTGTTTAATGTTATTGAAAAATCAAATTTTGCCAAAAAATTTCCTAATTTACCCTTATTTAATTATCAATAACTATTAGTAAATTATTGCCGGAAGTAGTAAAAAAATTGAATGATTTAATTTTCAATTATCACATTGGTTATTACTGGACGAATTAAATAAGTGTATATTAGTAAACGAACAAAATAACATATTCTCAATAAAGAAACGAGACTATATAATTATTAGTGAATTTTGACTTTTAGCCCCGTCAGTCAGTCACCTTATAGATAAATATCATGTTGGTCTTCGAACTTTATTCGATTCCAAAGTAGTAACTAAAGTTCGCTTTATATTTCATTTTGCTTGCTTGTTTAAATTTTAGTTATTTTTTCTCATCAATGCCTGGCACGGCAGACGAAAATAAACTATCGAGGTGCTAACATTAGGGTCTTTCTCATTACACTTTCCGTTATAAAACTTAATATAATTTAATTGAGTGGCCAAATTGAAATAAAAGCCAAATTATAATGACTTTTTTTGAGTAAAAATAAAATTTGGTGACCAACATCTAATTTTGTTGTAAGTTGAGAGACTAACAATATTTTATAACGAGACATCTTTGTGTCACGCTACGTGAAATTATGTTTGCGTGTATAGGAAAAAAAATTCCGCTGGAACCATTTTTGATTCTCATTAATATGTGTACTTGGCCGATTATTATTTTATAAGATATTTAAATATCTCTTATATATCTAATGCACTACTTGATAAGGCGGTATCCTACAATAATTTATAAAGTTTTCCTCCTTATTAAGTGCCTGCTTGTCTACCATTATTGTGATGAAAATAGTATAATGAATAGTATTTTTTGAAGAATGTGTGGTTAAAATTGAAAGAAACTTTATCGATTTATGTGTATAATATTTTATTATCTGAATATGTGGTGGAGATTGATTACTGTAGAAAACAATGTTTTGAAAAATGGTA